GATTCCTTTTGTAAATCTCTTTGAAATATCTTGAATAGAAATGAGATCTAGTAATTAAAGTTGATGGAGTTACCTATCTTTTTCACTTGTAAATGATGGAAATTAATGGAGCTTGATTACGTTTATGAGTTAATTCGAGTTTATCGAATGTTAATATTTTGGGGGCGTTACAACAAACCTGATATAGTCCTATTTTGGCCAACCAAGCTTTGTGGTTTAGTCGCCAGTTGACCTGATACTGCTTTTGTAGATTGTTAAGTTTCTTCAAGGTCTTATTTGTCCTAACCTCATTGAGAGCCGTCTTCATGCCGGTGAAGGTTTTCCTTGATTTCTCTTATGAATCCTCTTTGTTTCCAAAGCATCTAGGCTTGCCAAATGTTGCTTCCAATGGAAGTGATTTTGGTTCCTACTTAAGGTTGCACATGCACAGTCATGAAATTGTCTAGCTATGCTAGTACTAGCACTAAGACTCATGAGCGATTAAAGAAAGCTCAACAATCTTCTACAATTTCCCATATGTGTTTTGGCCTCTCTGGTCATAGAGGACTAAAGAAGGATCATCTCCATGGGTTACAAAACATTATCTTGTGTTCCATGCACAAATAAGAGCTTGGTAGGTGGATGCTATTTAGCAGCAAATTTGGAGCATGTGTCTTGATTCTTTATAAACTTTTGTCCTGGTAATTTTCCTCAATTTGATGGAAGTCTTCATATGGTATGGACCATACCCGGCAATTCAAGCTTCAAATTTATGCACATAGAACCGTTGTAGCTGTTCTTTGTTTAGATGGGGGAAGTTGTCAACATATGAAACTGGAATATGCTAGAATCAGTTTTCTTTTCAATTAATGAGTGCAAGCTTCAACATGTGAAATTACAATACAATGTACTATGATTGATTCCTGTTTGTGGAGGTACTGTTGTATTCCCTAGGATACCTAGATTCACAAGTGTTCCAACCAGTGAATGAAGAGATGATTCCAAGAGATATTTAATGAATCATGATCAGAAGTCCTGAATACATGATTTTCCAATTATTATGATGGACTAATTATGGACTTATAAACAAGTACACCTCGATGAGACCGGAGAAATATATTTGACATGGAGAGCTAGTAGCCACTTGAATATATGACAAAAAGTTGTTTGATCTATGTTCTACTCAAATCTTTGTGAGAAAGGAAGATAAATTTTCCAAATGCAGAGATAAGAATTATAACCAATTCCATTGATAGTATGCTTACTAATGTAGAGAGATCTTCCAATGGGAAAAAGGATCTATTTGGCTGTCATTTTTGTTTTGATATGATTCTGGTGTTTGTGAAAGGTGTGGTGAGAGTCTTCTATCTTGAGGTGTCTGTTTCATTCAATGTTACAATTTCATGAGTCAAAAAGGTTAATAAACCTCCAATTTTATTTGAATTTTACTTTAGTTTCTCATGTTTCAATTGTAACTGTCTTTTCTTTGTCCCTCCATCATATTTTCAGTTAAATTATACAAAGTTTGGCACATAATGACATGTGGCGTACTATTTTGAGAATATGGTTATAATTCTGTAGAGTTTACAGAAGAGGTGACACAAAATAAGGCCAATTCATGGACTTGGTTTTGCCAAAGAAGGTAACTTGTAATCAAAGATTCAGATTATAGAGCCAGAGAAGTCAGGTCTAACAAAGAGAGGGTTTGATCAATTACCAGAAATGAAAACTTAACAAAACAAGTTCAATTGGGTATCAAAGATCTCAATGTTTTAGATTAGACTCACAAACAAATCATCAAAGCATGAAAAGGAGAGAACACACAATAGTACCAGAACTAGCTCAACAATCCCCTGTGACTCTCATCATGCTACAATGCGTTCATGTTTTTTTTTTCCTCCCCCTTGGTTGGGAGTTGATTGCCAGTTCAGTTTCTTCCTCTTCCTCAGCCAATTCCAACCTCCTTGACACCTTAGGATCTGACTGTAACTACAATGATGCTTTTTCATAACAGAAAGACATGCCCCATTGGCCTAGGCGAAGATGGGGATAAGGAGTAAGGCCCAATGAAGCAAAGAGGCCTCCTCTGCACAAAATTCTGACATGAATACAAAGAATTTTTTGGGTAGAGCCTCCAGCTCAATTCTGCCTCGTCCTCTTTCTGTGCTACATCAAATGGCATAGGTTGTGTAAGCCCTGAAAGCCTTTGGTACTTTGGTAGGATAGGCTAACACCACCTACCGTGGACACTTATTTTTGTACCAAAAATGCTTCTTGACAATCATGGGACTCTTAGACTTTGTTTTGGGCTTCCAAAACCTATTGTACTAGTTTAGCCATCTAATACATGTTGCATCAAAAACATTTTGAATTTTTTTATTTATACAATTTGGTACAATAAATGGATTTGGTTGACACATGGCTGCTGTACTCTTTTGGAACAGAGTGGAGGAATAGAGTAAGGTGTAATTCTTGTGAACTTCCATTGAGTTCTAACATTATTGTCTTTTGATGTGTTGGACCTGAAGCACATGTGCACTATTTGCTTTGTCTATTTATCCATAATTCTTTGTTTTATTGATATTTATTACAATATGTAGTGGTAATGTTAATTATTCTGTACTGGTTTTGTGGAAGGATACTAATGTCTAGGGATGTTAAACGAACCAAACTACTCGAGCTTGACTCGTGTTTGGCTCATTTAAAGCTCATTCAAGATTGGCTCGTTATGTAAATAAGCCAAGCTTGCATACATTATAAAGCTCACTAAATTTTCAAACTAAGCTTGAACAACTTACTACTTGATTTGATAAGTTTGTATGCAGTATAAAAAATAGCTAATCGAGCTTGATTCATGTTTGGCTTGTTAGAAACTCGTCAATATTGACTTGTTATGTAAACAATCTGAGCTTGAACACATTTAGAAGCTCGTTAAGTTTTCAAATCGACATTGAACAACATAGTACTTGGCTTAGCTCATTTCCTTAAAAGCCCTAGATATGTCTAGTCTATACATATATCCATATTTTTGGTCTGGCAAAATGTTTATCAATATTTTATTTTCTTGAGAAAAGTTGAGACTCAACGAATATTCTTCTTTGGCAGTAAAACTGTATAGATTGATAAGAAGTAATTTGGGAAATAGGTTAAACCAACAAAAATAAAAGAGAAAAAGAAAGTAATTCTGTCTCAATTGGCAATAATAAAATGGAAAATGTTTGAGAAGAGTTCCTCAATTTAACCTACAATGATGTGACATGGTAGGCATCAACTTTTAATTTGTTGCATACTCAATTATATAGGTTTCACTACCTTCCAACATCACTGTGGGTGAATTTAGATTGGGGGTCTCTAGCATTTCTCTAATAAAATAGGATTGCAGTTCTAAACTGGCCACGATAGTAATTTTGTCTTTCCTAATCTTACCACACATCCATCTAAACATCCTTATCTAAGCTACATTTATTTTATGAATGTGTTGTTTCTTAGTAGCCCTACATTCTATCCATAAAGCATTGGTAGCCTTATAAAAGTTCTATTCAATTTTTCTTTCAATTTTATTGGTATCATCAATCACATAATATGGATTCTACTGGTTTAAAATTATTTTCTGAAAAAAAATATTATTGTAGTGGTAGTAAATGGTTTAGGTTGAAGTCAAACACACTTTGCTGCTCTGTTCAGCCAATAGTACCATTTTGAAAAGCAGACTGGTAAATGCTATTCAAAGTTGGTTTAAATGATTGAACAAGTTCTCTCACTTTCTCCTTCAAGCGCTATTAAGAACCATTTATCCCTCTAAAGAAAAGCAAGGAGAAAAGGGGAACAAAATTTGTGTATATGCATTAATATTGCTGTTTAGATTTTACATATGGCGCTTAAGGCATTACTTTTTGGACCTGCTACTGAATTAACTAGAAGATCGGTGAACTCTTTCAACAAGAAATTGTTCAGCCAATAGTACCATTTTGAAAAGCAGACTGGTAAATGCTATTCAAAGTTGGTTTAAATGATTGAACAAGTTCTCTCACTTTCTCCTTCAAGCGCTATTAAGAACCATTTATCCCTCTAAAGAAAAGCAAGGAGAAAAGGGGAACATAATTTGTGTATATGCATTAATATTGCTGTGTAGATTTTACATATGGCTGCTTAAGGCATTACTTTTTGGACCTGCTACTGAATTAACTAGAAGATCGGTGAACTCTTTCAACAAGAAATTATCTGTTTCTCAAAAAAAAAAAAAGAAGAAAAAAAGAGTAATTTATCACTGCTTTTGCATAACAATGTTTTCTATTGTGTACTATCATTTTCATTTTTCTTTTTTGATATTTGTGGCATGGCAGCTGTGAAGTTCATCTGATAAAATCCATTTTATGGTTTTCTACTAGTCTGATCTGATCCAATTGAACAGTATGCGAGTCGAGCAAGCTTTTTTCAGGATCTACTTTGATTCCCCATCCATACTTGCTTCTAAAATATGTTATATGCTTGGACAATTTTAAGAATCTGGAATAAATTATATAGCACCATTGTAGGGCTTATTCTTGTTTAAAATACATGACTCATTCATTACTGGATCGAAAGTTAGATATTTATGTATATATATGTATTTGCATAGTAATTAACATGCAAAATGTGTAGAATGCACAGGCTTAAGAGAGGTGGTTCAACTAATACCAGTGTCATTTGTATCATTGAGCCAAGGCCATCATTTGGGTCCTCGTTCTAGCATTCTGGACTATGCTTTCTTGATGTTTCTTAGTCATATGGAAAATACATAAAAATTTTAGAGTTCTGTCTTGAAAGAGAGATGGTATGGACATTTCTTGGGAGCTTTTGTTATAGAGAGAGTTCTGATTTGCAAATGTTGGGTTCTTTCATTCTGTATCATTTCCATATTGTTTTTCATTTTTTGGTTTTATTATTTTCTCTAATTAAATTAAACTTGGATGTGATGATGATGTTTCGCAGTCATGTTATATTTTTCCATGCTTCATCGGCTAATATATATGTGAACGCAGGCATCTATGTTGGGGATAATAAAGTTATCCATTTTACCAGACAAGGCCAAGAATTTGGAACAGGGACAGTGCTGGATATCGTTCTGCTAAGCTCAGTGCCAGCCCGATCTCCAGTGCCATGTTCCACCTGCACCCCACCAGAAGCTCACGGTGTTGTCTCCTCATGCTTAAACTGTTTCCTTTCTGGTGGTGTTCTGTACCGTTTTGAGTATGCCGTCACTCCTGCTCTTTTCCTTGCAAAGGCACGTGGCGGAACTTGCACTCTCGCTGTTTCAGACCCAGATGACATTGTGGTCCATCGGGCTAACTACCTGCTTACCAACGGCTTTGGGTGCTATAATGTATTCAAGAACAACTGTGAAGACTTTGCCATCTACTGCAAGACGGGACTGCTTGTTGTGGATCAGAGTAGGATGGGGCAGAGTGGACAGGCGGTATCTATAATAGGTGGACCCCTTGCAGCAGTTTTATCAACACCGTTACGACTTGTGACCACAAATGTTTATGGGATGGCAGCAACAGCTGTCGGGGTCTACTGTGTTAGCCGCTATGCTGCAGACATTGGCATGAGAAAGGATGTGGTGAAGCTGCCTGTGGAGGATTTGACAAGTAGGTTAGCAACTGGTGCACTACAGATTGTTGAGCCAAGCCTTCCAGTTTTTCTACCTCCTGCCAATTAGTCTTCCCGGTTTTAATATTGCTACCTCTATATTTATTTCTACACTCTGGAATGTGTATTTGAATTATATGTTTGGGAATTATGACCCTGAAACATGTAAGTTCATGGTGATGAACTTTCGTTGATTCATGGGTGTATGAATGTTTCTTTTATGGATTAATTTGCTGTCTCGGTATTTTAATATTCTATTCACAGTTGTAGATAGAAAACACATGGAAAGCAAATTGGAACTCCCATTAGGAAAAGGATTTAGAAAGTTAAAGTATACACATTAAAACAATTAGACATATCAATATGTTGAGTATAAGGAAAAGGATTTAGAAAGTTAAGGTCCCATTCTATAAGATGGTGTTCCCAACTTCTTTTCTTTATTTCCTTAATTAGCTAGCCAATTAAACCTTCTTGGGGAAGCAAGGTGGGAGGGAGGTTTGCTAGTGGGTGGTTGCAGTGGGGAGGGGTTCAACGGAGGGTTGGCTGCAGTGACGCAGAAGGTGATTGGGGAGGGAGAGCTAGCATTACAGTGTGGGAAGGAAGGTAGTACTGGGAATGAGGTGGGGTTGAAAAACGGGGTTAAAAAAAAAATTTCAAATTTGGAGGTGGGGTACAAAAGAAGATTAGGGTTTGATGAAATTAGGAAAAATTATAAATCCGTGATTCTTTCACAAAATTTTTATAAATTTATAAAGGTATTATGACTTCAATTATTAAAGTAAATAAAATTTACCACTAGTTTAAATTTTATTTTAAAAATATTTACTGAATTACAATTTCCTCACGAAATCAAGTGGGGCAAATACCAGTATCTCAAATATTTTATTATGAATCTTTAAGTACAAATTAAATATTATTGGAAGGCCTTTTAATTAATTTTAAACTTAAAATAAATTTATGGTGAAAGTCTTTGATTTAGAAGTAAGATTTATTATTAAAAAAAAAAAATGGAGAAGAGGGTGTTACTTGAACTCTAGACCACAAAATTAATAAGATAGGTTCTTACCATTTGAGTTGCATGTAACTTATATATGTATTTTGTATATTTATTTAACCCTTTTTTTTTTCTTTTTTTTTTTTTTTTTTTTTTTCACATTACGGTTATGCCTTTTTACTTTTACTCTTTCTTTTTGTTTGTTTGATAACTTAAAAATGTTAATTTACAAAACTGTATGAGATAATTCGTATTTTAAATAAATTTTTAAAAAATATTTGTAATTTTTTTTTTTGATGGAGAACAAAAGTGCAAAGTATAGTGGAAACATCAATTGACTTAAATAACGGTAACACATCCCAATTATGTTGACACGATTCTATTGGAACTCAAAAAATCATTAAGTACATCCAATTTCTTAATACACTATTGCATTATTTACGATTATAATTTACTTTTAATACACTATATTTTTTTCCTAAATTACTCTTAAAGTACACTCAAATAATAAACAAATCAAAAACCCTAACAAAAAATACAGTAGCATCCAGTAACTATATAGGAGCATATTTAGGGGTGATTCTATTTCCACACACGAATTCTCCTCAGTTCACACACTTAATGAAAATTTTCATTAGAGTGCTGCTATTAGCACCCCATAAATTATTTTGGACCCCCCAATTTTTAGCTTTATTTATTTATTTATTATAATAATAACCTCAAATAAAATTACTACAACGGACATCATTAATTTTGGGACACTCCATCTCGCAATTAAACCTACACACCCACTACATCATGAATTAGGGTTTATGAGAACACTCACCTCCATCACCACCCATACATTTTCCCCAAATCCCACCTTCATATGACCGAAATTTGGGAACACAAGCCCGAACATTCTTTATTTGTTTGGAAACAGGTAACCAAATATTATTCATAGGTTTGGACCAGTTTTACCGATCACATTTTGAAATTAATTTGTATTGTTATTTATTTCAGGATGATAGCGAGTTAACAGTTAAAATTCTTAACACGCGCAGAAATTTTATTTTTTCAAGTTCGAGAATACATGCCCGAACATTATTTATTTGTTTGGAAACACATTCCCAAACATAGCTTATTTGTTCGGGAATACATGTCTGAACATGAAGGAAACTCGCCATTTTTGGGTACACTATAACTTTGTTTTGTTTATAGCTCTCCCTCAATTCTCACCACACACACCCACACCCACACCCACACCCACACCCACACCGCAACAGTCCCAAGATAGAGATAGAGAGAAGAAATGGAGGATATGTTATGGTAGAAACGGGAGCACATCAAAAGGCTATACCATGTTAAACAAGAGCCGTTGATCAACAAGTCAGCATATCAGATGGCCCAAACAAGATTAAAAACAAAAAATAAAAATCTCTGTGTGTGTGTGTGTAGTAGTTAGTCAAAAGGCTACCATGTTGTAATTTATATAAACATAGACAGTCTTCTTCTTCTTCTTCTTCTTCATGGGTTTTGAAAAGGATGAGACTTTTCTTTTTCTTAGTGGGTTTTGTTAGGATTTTTTTGGAAGGGAGTTTTTTTTTTTTTTTTTTTTGGGGGTATGAGGGTGCGGGGGGTGTGCATTCAATGGGTGGAATGTTTAAGGATAATTTTGGTATTATTTGGGTGAAGAAAAGTAATTTTAAGGGTTTCAAAATTTATAAGTGAGGGTCCAAAGAAATGAAGGGTCCAAAATAATTCATGGGGTGCTAATAGTACCACTCTTTTCATTAATACAATTTTGTCTTGGAATAAAAATGCTATAATACTCTCATCTTCTTCTACCCAAACCCTAATTTTAAAACATCACAATCCATTTCTATTGCCGGCACCACCTCTCTCATCCGCCATCCTCTCCCATCACCTCTTTCCCTTTCTGCCAACAATCATTTTCCATCATGAATCATACACTTCCCACAACTCTTCCACCACAAATCACTCAAGGTTGACTGTGGAGGTTTATGATGGAAGGGGATGAGCTATAAGTGGCGGCGGCGGCGGCGATGGAATGTTGAAAGTGGTGGCAACGACAATAAAAGAGGAGTGGGTGAATGAAAGAGAAGAAGAAGAAAAAAGAAAAAGAAAAAAAGGCTATGTTTAATCTAGTTTTAGAATATGTTTTTAAAAATAAATAAATAAAAACTTCTTATTTCAATATGGTTTTATCTTTCTAGGGGTAAAATAATTAATTTTTTTTTTTATATTTGTTCTTGTCAAATTAATTTATAATTTTCTCAAAAAAATTTCAAAAAATTGATTCAAACATTGAAACCAAACATAGCCTTAGGGCAAAAAAATTTCAAAAAATTGATTCAAACATTGAAACCAAACATAGCCTTAGGGTTTTAAAATTGAAAATGAGGATAATATTGGAATATAGAGATGTATACTATAATTTATGTTTTTATAATGTGTGTATTGAGAAGGTGTTTATTAAGTGTGTATTGAGAGAAATTAGTGTGTGGAAATAGAATGTCTAAACTTCGGTGGTGCTACATGTACCGATTAATGCACAGACTAATGTACCAACTAGTGTTATGCCATTATTACAAATTACAAATACCCAAAACCTATTAAATTATGCTACATCATCTGTTAGTATACTAGTTAGTACATTAATTGGTACATATAACATTATTTTAATTTTTCTATGATGGTGGCCAGTGCTAACACTACAACAAATTATACTTTTGGCGACTAAATTTTTCGTCCCCGAAAGTCATATTTTAGTTGGCAAAATGTTTGCCGACTAAACTTTTTGGTCGCTAGTTTGTCGCTAAATGTTTGTTGGGAAAGGTATTGACGACTAAAACATATTTAGTCGCTGAAAGTCTTTAATGGGCGACAAATGTTTTAGTCGCCAAAAGTTCTCAATTGGCGACTAAAAATTATTTAGTCACTGAAAGTCTTCAATTTCATACACTGCAACAAATTACACTTTTGGCGACTAATTTCTTAGCATCCAAAAGTCATTTTTTAGTCACCAAAATTTTTTTTTGTCGCCGAAAGTCGCCAATTGGTGACTAAAAATTTAGTAGTCCAAAGTTTTCAATAAATGTGCTTTATTGTTTTAGCGACTAAAATATTTAGTCGGCAAAATCATGGTACTCCTTTTTAGCTACTAATTGTTTACTCGCCAAAAACTTTCATTTTTTTGTGGCTACTAACTATTTAGTCGCCAATAAGTTCCCTTTTTATTTTTTGGTTACTAAATGTTTAGTCGTCAAAAGCTCTATTTATTAATTTTTTTAAAATGCACAAATTGAATATTTTTCATTAATTTCTAAATTATATGCATTCCACTGTCAACGTAACCTGTAACTTGTACATATACAGAACAATACATCTATCAATTAATCTAAATCCATTATCAATAATACCCATTTCATTATAAACTATCCAAAAACTTTAACTTGTAACATCATATTCCAAATATCATATAAATCCATACCAACCAAGTATAATCCATCTAAATTAAATATTACATACAAAAACACTGGATTTAATGTAAAAAACAGAGGATTGTACAAAAATAAATGTCTTTTATATAAAGAACAAATACTCTTTGTACACAAAAATAAATATCCACAATAGCCCATGCAAAAGCAATCTGTAAAAAATAAAATTACAAAAAAAAAAAAACCCATTAGCACTTAGTCAATAAAATTGACATTTCAAATTACAACAATTATAAAATTAATAATTTTGATATATTACACTCTGAAAATTATAACAATTATAAAATTAATAATTCTAACTTTCTACCTATTAATACAATTTTTCTACATACGTTCGAATGCAAAAACTTCACTTTCTTACATGCCTACCTATTCCTAAAATCATCAAAGACAAAGATAACAGTTAACCATTAACCGACCAGATTTTGTAGCAGCTCCTTTCGATTTGTTGGAGGAAGCTTCTCCACCTCTGGCAACCAGTTGCAAATACAATGTCAACATTTTATTTTTAGGAATTAACACAAATAATACAACAAGAAATGAATGTAGGAAAGTTACAAACCGTGAAGCCTCCCTCTTTCCTTGCTTAGCTGATGGTGCAGGGTTTGCTTTTGCTTTCTTCTTTTTGTGCCTGGTAGTAGAAAACAAATTAGTAAGCTAGCGAAATACGAAATATAGGGCTATATACAGGACTGTCAACCTAATTTCATAAGTACCCACAAAAAAAGTTAAAACAGAGAAGCGAGAAAAAGATAAGAAAG